TCTTGCCTCTTCAGGAGGCTATAAGTATTATGTGAGCTTTGTCGATGATTATTCCCGTTTCACTTGGATATATCTTCTTAAGCACAAGTCTGACGTTGAGCAAGTATTTTATGCTTTTCAGGCTCATGTTGAGCGTCTTCTCCGCACTAAAATCATATCCGTTCAGTCAGACTGGGGTGGTGAGTACCACAAATTACACCGCTATTTCCAGCGCACTGGGATCTCTCATCGTGTGTCCTGCCCACACACCTCTCAGCAAAACGGGATTGCTGAACGCAAACACCGTCATCTTGTGGAAACAGGTCTGGCCTTATTGGCTCATTCGCCTCTCCCTTTACGGTATTGGGACGAAGCTTTCCTTGCTGCATGTTACTTGATTAATCGCATGCCTACACCTGTTCTCCAACAAGATACACCCATGTACCGCCTCCTTAAAGTCAAACCCGATTACACCTTTCTCCGCACCTTTGGGTGCGCCTGCTGGCCTAGCTTGCGCAAATATAACGCTCACAAGCTTGCTTTCTGGTCCACTATGTGTGTGTTCTTAGGTTATAGCTAGCTGCATAAGGGGTACAAATGTCTCGACCATTCCACGGGTCGTATCTACATCTCCCGTGATGTTGTGTTTGATGAGTTTGTGTTTCCATATGCCACACCTGGGGTCACCGTCGATATCTCCTCCTTGGCTGATGTTCTCTCGTTTCCTTCCAGTGAGCCGGTTACGGGTGACCATATGCGTAAATACGACTTATCCTACCTATCTACTGATCCGCCTGTTCCAGGCCATATTGCTTCTGTGCAGGCAAACCAGGACGCCGCTCCTCCCTCCTCGGTGATCGACGTGCATGGCGCATGCACGTCGCCCGGCTCGTCGGCTGCCTCGTCGCCCGGCCCATCTTCCGCGACGTCCCCGCCCTCTGCGGGCTGCTCGGCTGGTCAGCCCGCTGCGGACGCGTCGACCTCCCCGGCGATCGACGTGCATGGCACATGCACGTCCCCCAGCCCAGCGACCACGCCGGCCTTCCCTGGCCCATCATCAGCGCCAGCGCCGGCCACTTCATCGCCTGCTGCCACACAGGAGGCTGCTGCTCCCTCCTCGCTGTTCGACCAGCTCGTGTCGCCTTCTGTTGAGGGCAGCCCTTTCCCCTCAACCGCGACGCCTCCAGCTGCTCCGGGCCACACCATGGTCACGCGCACCCGCGATCATACTCGTCGTGCGCTTGTTCCCACTGATGGAACTATCCGCTATGACCCTCGCCGCCGTGCTTTCCACGCTATGCCTGTATCTCATCGTGATGCCCTTCGTGAGCATGCTTGGCGCACCGCCATGATGGATGAGCTGGACGCTCTGCGTCGCAACAGGACTTGGGTTCTTGTGCCTTGTCCACGTGGTGTTAATGTCGTTCGGAGCAAGTGGATCTTCAAGACCAAGCATCGTCCGGATGGCTCCATTGACAAGCATAAAGCTCGTCTGGTCGCGCATGGTTTCACCCAGCAGCTTGGCATTGACTATGGTGATACGTTCAGTCCGGTTGTCAAGCCAGCCACCGTTCGACTGGTTCTTGCTCTAGCTGTGTCTCGCGGATGGATTCTCCGTCAGATTGATGTCAGCAACGCTTTCCTTCATGGTTACTTGTGTGAGGATGTCTACATGCAGCAACCACTAGGTTTTGAGGACGCTCGGTATCCCTCTCATGTGTGCAAGTTGCAGCGGTCTCTCTATGGACTCAAACAGTCCCCCGCGCATGGTATGCTCGGCTCAGCTCTCGTCTTCTCCAGTTGGGGTTTGTTCCCTCTCGCGCCGACGCCTCTCTGTTTTTCCTCCGCCATCAGGATGTTCAGATATACATGCTTGTCTACGTGGATGATATTGTTATCGCTGGCTCTTCTCGACGTGCAGTTGACGGTCTTGTTCATTCGCTTGCGGCCACCTTTCCTATTAAGGATCTTGGGCCGTTGGAGTACTTTCTTGGCTTGGAAGCGTCGTACAATTCAGGGGGTATGACCTTGACACAACGGAAGTATGCCATGGATCTTTTACACCATGTGAACATGGAGAATTGTAAGTCCACTTCCACACCGTTGTCTACCTCCGACCAGCTTGCACGGGTGTCTGGACAGCCTCTCGGTGCCGATGATTCTTTCCGGTATTGCAGTGTCGTTGGTGGATTGCAGTATTTGACTCTCACTCGCCCAGACATTTCATTTGCAGTGAACAAGGTATGCCAGTTTCTCTCACAGCCCACTGATGTTCATTGGGAAGCTGTTAAGCGCATCCTGCGCTATGTAAAGGGAACATTGCAAACTGGCCTGAAGTTTCGAAAGGCTTTCTCCACCAGCATTAGTATTTTCACTGACGCAGACTGGGCCGGGTGTCCTGATGATCGACGTTCCACTGGAGGCTTTGCCATCTTTGTTGGCCCAAATCTCATCTCCTGGAGTTTGAAGAAGCAACCGACGGTGTCGAGATCTAGTATGGAGGCTGAGTACAAAGCCTTGGCAAATGGAGCTGCTGAGGCCATTTGGTTAGAATCACTACTCAAGGAGCCTGGTGTTTCCCAGCAGCGTGTTCCTGTTCTATGGTGTGATAATTTAGGAGCCACATATCTGACTGCCAACCCAGTTTTTCATGCACGCACCAAGCACATTGAGATTGACTTCCACTTTGTGCATGAGCGTGTCGCTTCTGGAGCTCTTGATGCCAGGTTCATTTCTTCTAATGATCAGCTGGCTGACGTGTTTACCAAACCAGCCACTCGACAGATGCTAGACCGTTTTAGTACCAATCTAAACCTTGTACAGAGTAGAAGTTCAGATTGAGGGGGTATGTTTAAATAGGTCTAGCGTGTCATGTACACGTATTGTGTACGTATGTAACTTGTGTATGCTGATCATTATATATAGAAAGACGTGGAGAGGCATTGCCCCACGGAAAACCCTAAACCTATTCTCAAACTTATAGTACTGAGATAATGTGATGTCGGGTGTCTTTGTGCTGCATCTCGATGGCGCCTTGCGAGACACACATGCTAGTTGTTATTAACCATATACTCTTATCATGTTTTTCCTTACTCAAAACTATATATATAGCCCTAAAAAAACTATATATCAATTTGTATGGCTTATTGGCCCTGAACACGGCACGTGGCACCCACTTGATTCACAGGGCACGCTTAGATTGTCATCTTAATCATTGTTATAATTATTATTTTTTTGCGGGGATAAAGGAAGTTTATTGCATCGGAATAGAGTTACAGTCGAGAGGCCACAAATCCTCGATACATGGTGGAGCCGAATCAAGCCAAACTGCCGTGGCTCGCTCGGTGTGGCTATACTTAGCCAACCGATCGGCAACTCTATTTTGAAGTCTACTAATCTTTTGAGAAAAAACTCCCTACTATCTAAAAGTGACTTGATCTCAAAAATGATCTGTCCATAGGCCGAGCGAAGAAGTGCATCATTTGTCAAGCTAGACAATGCTTCGGCGGAATCCGTTTGAACCACCACCGGTAGCGCAGAATGTTGTAGTGCAAGGGCCATCCCATGCATGATCGCATGCAATTCCGCCTCAAGAGGGTCATTGCAATGGAAGATAAACCGGTAGGCTGCCATTTGAATTTCCCCTCTGTCATTCCTGAGCACCATACCGATGCCCGCAGAGCCATCCTCCTGCAGAAAGGAGCCGTCGACAGATAGCGCCAGCCTACCAAGCGGCGGAGCCGGCCAGGGGTCCGCCGATGGCATGAATCTGGGGGTTGGCAGCACAATTAATTATACAAGACAAAGATCGACTGCTGCAGTGAGTGAACCTTTAGCGCACAATTAAATAGCAAGGATTCAATTTTTATTTTGCATTTTACGATGAGCCTATATGAAGAGGAAATCTGATAGTTTTTTCTTTCATTTGATATACTACCATGAATTGCATATAAATGCAATTCTTTTTTTTTCACCCGCAAAAAAAGAATTGCATTTATATGCTTCCATTTTGGACTCAGCGGCGGCCTCTGGCGGGAAATAAGGCACGGGACACGCGGAGATGGCAAACGGGCTCGACAGTGTTGGCGTGGTGGTTTCATGTGGCAACTGCACATGTATGGTCTAGAATGGCCAAACTAGGTGTGCAGCGGTAGCTGAAAGAGAAGGAGCTCGAGCGCTGATGTTGGCTCTTCTGTTCATAGTTGACAACGTGGCCAAATGATGGCCAACACATCGAATGGATGTTTCATATGAGTCTCCCCTCCGTTATTGCCACAAATGAGACCCACAGAATAAGAAATGGGTCAAAGGAGGTGGCAATGAGGTGAAAACTTGGTGGCAGACGCACAGGGTTTGTGCCCAATTTATTTGCAATCATTAGTGGCACAAGCACAACCACAATTTCAAAAAAAAAAGTGGCGGGCATCGAATATAAGTTGGATATAGTACCCAGACCTAATTTCCCCATAAAGAAAGACTTAAACCCAATTGCAAAGGAAGAACTCAAGTGCACGCTACAAGTCTACATCATCGTCCATTCGTCTTAAGCATGAATGAGAAATTACTCACCCAACGACCATATGGTTTTTGCAGAAAACAACACAAGTGAAATGGGGCCAATGGCACATAGAAGAATGTATTAAGCTGACCGTAGCCACCACACACTGGTGTTTACTAGGCTTAGTTAGCAAGTGAGTGACGTGTATGTCAGTGCAAACACAAAAGAAAAACACATTGGTGTTCATTGCTACAGTGAGAATTTGTATTGCTACGGTGAGAAACGACAAACACTACCACATAGAATAGCAGTATAGATACGATAAAATATGCACACTGTCTAGATGAAGAATTGGCTAATGCAATTTGCGAAACGAAGTTCATGAAATTTCCTTCCAGAAAGATAAACATATGAAACACAATGAACCTTTGTTGATATCTTATTGAGATGACCATATATGGAAACATCAAAGTTCTACACACTCACTGATGTCTTTATTTTATTCCATGAGCTAGTTCTGACATTAGTTCATGCACTTTGAAGGTGACTCTTCTTCACCCTTAGGAAAACTATCGAAGATACTTTGACTGAATTTAGGAGCAAATACTCCCAGCTCCTCTTCCCTGGTAAATTTGAGGCTCCGAGCTTCTGTCCTAGAGATGCCGAATGCATTGGCGAGGACATCAACGGGCAAGGCACCGAGAATTGAGTTCTTTCCTGCGATGTGACTAACCATGGAGTTTTCGTTAGTCTTGAATTCAATGTACTTGCTTCCATCACGTTGTGCCTTCTTCAGAACGACATAGTTTTGTGGTATGATTAATAGTTGTCCCGGGCTAAGAAGGCCATTGAACACATTTCGACCATGGTCATTGACAACTTGAATCCAGATATGTCCTTGGATCATGTACATCACACTATGAGCATTAATGTTCCATAATGGTGAAATAATGGCATTCTACGATCACAAATTATGTATGGTGTAATGTTAGAATTGCATTGTGAAGCTTTGAACATATAAGAGTATGAAAAACACAATATCATAATTACCTGGTAGAGATGTACTCTTGTAGCACTCATTTGCACGATGTTAAGGATGGGGAACGTTTGGCTGTTGAGACGTGTTATTGTACCGGCACGCGGGTTGTATATGTCAGCATGACTGGGATCGTCGATGTTCACACTTAGCTTATGATCACAAAAGTTCTCCTCCAAACCATTCCAACCACCATAAGTTGATTGTGATGCATAAGATTGCCCTGCATGAGGTTGACATCCCGGATATGGCCCTGCCTGAGATTGCTCTTCTTGAGATTGCCCTCCCTGCCCTTCTTCAGGTTGGTCTCCTTGATAGTGTTTTCCCTGAGACTGCCCCATTTGAGGTTGCTCTCCCTGAATGTGCTTTCCTTGAGACTGCCCCATTTGAGGTTGCTCTCCGTGAGACTACCCCATTTGAGATTGCTCTCCGTGAGACTGCCCCATTTGAGGTTGCTCTTCTTGAGAGTGTTTTGCCTGAGATTGCCCTTCCTCATATTGAGTGTGTGGGTAGGATTCTTGCTCTCGCTGTTGTGTAAAAATAGGCTTTATAAATTTAAGAGTATGATTCACATGGATTATGTCACCCATTTCATTTTGACTTTGAAGCCTTTGCGCTATTTTTCCACTTGTACCCAAGGCCTCACCAAGCAACCGAACATCGAAACCACTGAATATGTTTTGGCTAGAGTGAAGTTGCGAACTCCTATAGTTGCCAGCCAACAAAAATTCCTACAAGTTTGATCAAGAAGAGAAATTAAACAACATGCCACTTGTAAACAACATTAAATACAGTAGGTTAGTTGAATAGACTTATTGACCCCACATAGATTTGTCCCAAAGATTTTTTGTTACCTTATGCCTAGTTTCATGTTGATTAGCATTGTTGTTTACGTCGAAAACATAGATAGCCACAATTGGCGCATCACCGTCATTGTAGAACCAATGTACAATGCCTGCCGGTAGTGCAATGACATCTCCTTGTTTGAAACGGTGAACCTTCTGGTGCTCATCTTTGAACTTTTGGCTTTGGCTTTGACCCTGTACGAATTGTGCTTGCCCATATTTTTGAAACTGTTTTTGGAATGTCTCTGGGCATCCAGTAAAAGACAATCCGGCAGAACCACTTCCTGGGTGAAAACATATGTGCATGTTAGTGTTAGAAACTTATTGATAAAATACTAAAAATAGTAACCTTTATCTCAAGAAACTATTAGTAATATCAAATGGTAACTACATTAATTGAATTGCTACACAGACCTTGGATGATGTAGACTAATCCATGAGTGTTGTGGTATCGCGTAACAAATAACCACGAGGTTCGATTACACGACGGATGACAAATACACCAATGCAACGAAACTGCTCATTTTCCTCATCAAAATACTCGGTTAGGCCTGCTTGCGACCTCACTTGACGAAGTGGTGTAGATGCTTGTAGCCTATTGAGTGTACACTCTCTGAAACCCCCTTGGCGAGAGCTTTGCCATGGGTTAAAGCTCATGCCAAATAGTTGTGCCATGGAGCCATGGCACAAGAGCAAAATGCAAAAGTAAAAAGAGAGCGATACAAAACTAGTGGCTGACATAGCTGTTTGAAGAGGAGAGAGAAGTTTTCTTGATGTTAGGGTTGGGAGATGTGTGTGGCTTTTATAGCCAACAAAATCTACCTAGAACTTATGTAGATACAAGATTTGTTAAGATAAATATGTAGAACATATGATAATTTCGACAATTGGAAAGTTGAGTGGCTCTAACCAACTCTCATGAGTTAAAGTTATATATGACTGCAAGCAAACATAGAAAATGCTTTCTGTGTTGTCTTTAACGATCATCTACATCATTATTTCTAGAAAGGTTTTCGTACACGTTGGTTAAGTGTTTCTTTTTCACGTAACTTACAAACTTCTAAAACATATCTGTACCAACTTCTGTCTAGTGCTCGCTTTTATGCTTGTTTGTTTATTGCACCGCTAACTGGAAACATCACTTTAGTTGCTGCATAACAATACATTTGGATACTTTTGCACTTGTGTGATGATGACATTTTGCTTCGCCAAAGTAGTGTATATTAGATGACACACATCCACGTAGGCACACACTTAATACGTATCAGGATAAGGATAAAAGAAGTTTTCCACGATGATGCATTATCCATCTGGATACAAGGAGTGCAGATATGAAAAGTTCAGATAAGAAGAAAAGGCATTGGAGCAAACTAATCACAACTTTTTTTAGGGACTAGCAAGATGCTCATGCGTTGCACGTAACATCAAGATGCATTTGTATGAGTAGTTTATCTTGTGAGAGAGAAGAATGAACGAGGGAAGGCCTTATTTGCAAATGTGGAGAGAGATGTGGGTACCTTTTTGCAAAATTGCAATAGTTTCCTTCCTATCCGTCAGATATAAATCGAACGACCTATATTGCAGGATGGCAGGCATACCATCATTACCAACGCTGTTTTTATTAGACTAGACTAGAGTAGAAAAGATGCACACTTGTTTTGTTCCCGTTTAAAAGAGAAGAGGCATCTCCACGCAAATGAGGCCGTAGTCTTAATTATCTTATGGGCTGTTGACCCAACATTTCTACACAGATGACCAAACACATTGGCTGGCTTGAAAAATTGAACCCGAGACGAAAAGGGGCGCGCGTCTATACCTTGCACGACACCAGATAGAAGCCCCCCTCGCCTACAGAGCGTGTGGTTCGCCTGGCCCAAGTAGCCTGCTGCAGGTTACTTCAGTTTTATTTGTTTATTCATTCGACTTTATTTCTTTTGCTCATATTTTCGAAAACAATACCATACATTCAAAAATTATATTTACTAAGAAATTTACAAAATCAAGAATTCAAAAAATGTTAATGCAATGTACAAAATTTGTTAGGTAAATTTTTAAAAATGTTGATAGCGTTCAAAGAAAATGTTGGTAACATTTGAAAAGCGTTCACTCATAACAAAATATGTATATGCCATTTAAAAAAATGTTTATACAAATTAACTATTTTTTAGTGAAATTTAAAACTAATGTTTCATATCATTTAAAAAATGTATGTCAAATTAAAAAAACATTCACATGTTTCCAAATAATGTATTAAAACGTTAAAAATATGTTTAAAATTATTTTTTTAATGTAACAAATGTCCACATATGTTTTTTCAAACATTTAACAGAAAAATGTTAACATGCTCAAAATAATGTTGAAAGCATGTATTGGGAAAAATGTTGATCATGTATCGGAAAATGTTAATATGTATATAAATTTTTTTATATGTTAAAAAGATATACACCAAAACATGTAATTTTAAAAAGTTAATATTGTATTTTTAAAATTTTAAACATGTATGAAAAATGTTACTGACGTATACGGAAAACGTTCAATGTGCATAAAAAAATGTTCCATGCGTACACTAAAAATACACATGTGTACTGAAAAAAGATGTGTTGAAAAAAAGAAGAAAAAACTAAAAAATAGTGAAGAGACAAATAAAAAAATAAACAAAAAGAAAACCTCGGAAAAACAAAAGAAACTGATTCATAACTGTGAAACACGGTTACAATAAGAGAGAAATGAAGAAACCCGCTGAAACCCAAGAATGAAATAAAGAAAACCAAAGAAAAAAAAGAAACGGAAAAAGAAAAAAGAAGAACACAATTTTTAGAATTTTTTTTGACAGAAACCCACATAGGAAACACGCCGAAAAAACCATACTAAAAACTCGTTGTACAGTTATCTCGCATTGGGCTGGCCAACACTGTAGCTACCTGAAAACCCTTCAGGCGAGGATAGCTTCTATCTCGCCATAAGTGAGATATAGGCTCCCTGCCCACACCCGGACCTCGATTCCCCCACAACCCTCTTCCAATCGACCGTCGCCGCCCTGGTGGCCCCAAAAGTTCAGATCCGGCTGTCGAGGGTCGCTGGCGCCGAATCGGCACGGGCCATCGTCGGATCGGCGTTGCGACCGAAACAGGACTGTGCATCCGCCCCGAGCACCCATCGGTGCAGCAAACTCCATGTTCATGTGCGACCTGCCACTGCCAAAGAAGAAGAAGGGCCATGGCTTGCGACAACAGGCATTGGCGACATGGGTGTCGCAGATTAAGGATTAGGACACGTGGAACGGTACTAGCTAGATTGGCTGGTTCCATCAATGGAAGGCAAAAATGAAGTTAGTTGTTGTTGATGTCCTCTATCCATCTACTATTTGATACGTCTTTTAGATTCTCTGGTGTGGTTACACTCGTTCTACTTAATTGACACTTGCATTGGTGCGCATATATAAGTAAATGTTGGACATGTGGTGGCTCTTGTGCCCAACATTGGAGTAGGTAGCTTGCCCTCTACCGCTGTTCGCTGGTAGAGTTGTTTGTGTTGCAATCTCGCCACTACCTCATATACATGTATAGTGCTACGCAACTTTGGGAATGGGTGGCTTCGTGAAATCATTGGTTGCCGCGATCCTGTGATAGTGAAGGCGTCAATTGGCCTTGATTAGCACGGCACTAGCTCCTCTTTCGTTCCTTCTTTTTTTTTTAAAAGGAGGCAAAAGATTTGTCTCATATATTAATTAAGAGAGAAGAAAGAGTTTGAGGGATTACAACACCGCCTTACAAAGGGACTACTCTCCCGGCATGATTGAACTCAACTTCTTAGCACCGGCGGCGACCCAAAGTGCCGCCTCCTCTTTGATGAGGGCTAGAATTACAAATGGCGGGGCACTTTTGTGGCGAAACACCCTAGCATTACGTTCGTTCCAGATGGCCCAAGAGGTGAGCAATGTGAGGGAGGCCACCGCCTTCCTGTTGGGGACGGAGTAGTCGGAGAGCGCGATCCACCACTCCTTGGCAGATTCAAAGTGCTGCCAGCTTGCGGTATCAATGCTTTCAATCTGCAGCCACCCCTTGATCATGTTCCATACCCGAATGGTGAACCGACATCGGAAGAGAAGGTGATCCACTGTTTCCTGCTCACGCCGACAGAGGGGACAAAGACCACAGTTTGGCCAATCGGTCAGCGGTCCACACTCTGTTTTGGGCGGCCAACCAAGCGAAGAACTTCACTTTGGGAGGGGCCCAAACTTTCCAAATAACATGCTCCAGAGGCGAGCGGATCATGCCATGAAATTGCGCCTTGTAGGCAGAAGCCGCGGTGTAGAGTCCACTGTCAGTATGCTTCCACACAATCTCATCCTCCGCGTCGTGTTGCAGTTGGAAGCCTTGAATGCTAGACCAGAGCAGGAGGAATTGGCTGAAATGGTGAATCGAGAAATTGTGTGACAGCTTTATTTTGGATATCCACGCATTGTCCAATAGAGCCTCTTTGATTTTCCAATTCTTCCTTGTGGCGGCACCATAAATGAGCGGAGCAATGTCTTTGGGCTT